TTTATATCGATATTTAATATCTAAACATTAACCAATGTTGCAACAGAACATCCTTTCTCGCATTATTTCAAAATTTTGCAATTTTCGAAAATTTGAAGAGTTTAACAAAAATGCGACTCGTTGTTTAATGGCCCTCTATTTCCTCTATCGTAGGAAAATTGTTAGGGAAAAAATTTGGTGCCCTTTTTGAGGAAAAAATTTGTACACATTCCATTAAATTCAAATAGAAATGATGCGAAAATAACACGTTTTTATGAAAAAAATCATAATATGATTAAAAATGTTCATATTATATTTATTAAGATCTACTAGCATTATCAATATATTTCTAATTTTTGAGCAGATTTTATTTAAGACAAAAATCTCTAACATGAATAGTGTACGTTTGAAATGTCAACTTTTTGCAATTTTCGACGTAAATGAGGCAAGCGTCAATTTCTTTATCGTTCTTTGATACATGCGAGTAAAAAATGTAGAAAAAAGTTGATCACGAAAGTTTACCCGAAAACTACTGCATGAAAAACTATTGCATGATCTTCTTTCAAAACCTATCTTTGAACAAATTTATTTCGAAGAAAAAAGATCTATATTCAATTTTGTAGTTGTATGAAGACGCAAAAAAATGAATTTTTGCAATTTTCGAAAAATTCGCTGATTAAAAAAGAATGCATCCCACCATTCTTTTAAGCATTCTCTACTCTGTACAAGGACATAATTTAATTAAAATATTTGAAGCCATTTTGGGGAAACTTTTGAAATTTTGTGTTTAATGGAATGTGCCTTCAAAAATAAAAATATTAGTTTCAAACTCGCAGGGCCCAGAGTTCGTTCAGATCGATCGGAAAATATCAATACTGGAGTAATTCGGCTGAACTGTTTAGACGCTAGCGTTGACCACAACAGAGAGCAGGCATACATTTTGTCATCATTTTCTTTTTTCGGTATAAAGGACAGACGCACTGCCGCCAACCGATTTTTCTGTATGAAGGATTCATAATACTGGGATTCTGTGTAGTCATGTGTTAGAGGAAGTAATTTATTACAAAAAAACGTTAATATACTTTTCAATGCTAAGGTTTAAAAGAACAAATTGTTCTGTCGAAAAATCGCCTTTCCCCCCGCAACATTAAAAATAATTTCTCATCACTACCTAAGGACGTAGTAACTCCAAAGAATAAAACTCCGAAAGTGATTGGCAAGACAAACGAGGATGTTTGAATTTAAAGAACGGCAAATGACCAATCTTGTACAAAAGACTTTAATTTCTGAATCAGAATAGAAATAAATTGTGTGAATATTGTAAATTACCAAGGTCATTACTCCCATACTTATTTCATGTTATGACTTTGTGTAGTGTTCCTCTCCCGATAAAGTTGAGAACCGGCGACGACCTAATCGTCGCCTTGCAGCGGGGTGCATGAGTTTCCCCTCTAGATGCCACTGCCAGCAAACCTCCATCCGCAAAAGGGTCTACGCTCCCGACAGTGTGGTATTGTAATGCATATAAGGACGCACATGTGTGTAGTAAGTTTGATAGAAGAGTAGGGACAAGAATGAGAAAGGGAAAATCGCACGCTGTCCGTCTGTTAAGGTTCTGTTCCGGCATTTGCCTGTTATTTATCGGAGATACCTCGGAAAAGTATGGATAAGAGCAACCGCCGCTACAATTCTTCAACATGTGATTGACCAAGCAGGTAGTGTCGAATATTCGTCACCGTCGGAACTGGAACCCTAGAACCTACTTCTGAAGGATATTTCAGAGGCAACTGTGTTGACCTGCTTAGATGGCAGGGCATCAATTGGTGTCACTGCAGTGCCCTAACCGTGGGATCATACGGTTCGAGTTCCGGCGGTTCTAGAATAGCTAGAAATCTAGGTTGAACACAGCCGCTGCCTGGAGCAATTTCACCTAGCCGGCTGCTCTTATCATCAATTTTCCGTGATTTCTCCGATCAACATCAGATGAATGCCGGAGTAGTGCCTTAACAAAAGGGTCACGGACCGCGCGTGATCTTTCCTTCTCATTCTCATCACTTTGTTACAAGCATTGCACTATGACTCATTTCGAGAGCTTAGAGCTTGTCCCGGTTGGAACGATTCCTCGCCACGCTGGTGGGAGATACCTGGTTGGGAAACCCCGCAAGCCTACGTGCCGGCTCGGATCTCACCATGAAGGGAAGGAAGATCACCCGTAATAAAACATGTACTGCAGTTACGAGACTAATGACACTTGACTATTGGCAGTTGACGCGCCGGAAATCACCAAGCAAGCTACTGTGCTGTCGCTGAGCTCTCGCAGCCTGTTACCTACCTGGTCCGCCTTGTGCGCGTCCGAGTCGGTGGCTTCGGTGGCGGCCGCGCCGGCGGCGGCGTCTTGCTGGGCGACGCTCAGCGTCATGGACACCGACGCCGACGACGACATCGACGTCACGGGCTGCTCCGACGGCGCTGGCGCCGCGCTGGGTGTCTCGGCGCTGCGAGCAAACGCACTCGTATTGAATTGAATTGAATCAATGCCTTGTTTTACGTGGCGAGACTCAGGCCATGAGGCCTGCTCTTCCGTCTGACCACGCCAATTTCGCTACGCTCCTTTCACCAACTAGCAGAGAAAGGAGGTATTTCTTGGGCCAGAAATAGGCGATTTGAATTTAGACGCTCAGAGGTGTAATTTAGGCTTGAGGACCTTTTACATGCAAGCAAATCTACTAACATGGGACAGCCGGCTTTACTTCCCCTCCGAAGGAAAGCGTACGAAGAATTTTTTCGCCCTTAAAATTCCATTCTGTTTGAACCCGCCAACTTGGGTACAACTGTCCGAAACGCTAACCGTTACACCATCGCCGCGCGGGGTGCACTCGTACATATCTACACCCACGCACAACCGATGAGCATCAAATGACAGACGCGGCCCATGTTCGAACACAGAGGCGATAGCCGAGATTGTCTGTTATTTGTGTTATCGGCCGCGAGCAATTCAATATTTTTGGCTCTTCCACTCGTGAAATTAAAACCAATAGTGTGCGACTGTACATATAAAATGCCCCGTATCTCAAAAAATGTATCTCAAAAAATATATCGCTTTTTCTATCCGATTTTTCTTACCGCCCCAATCTACTGGCCAATAATAAGCTATCTTAGGAAGCGGTATATATCGATCGTTCTGTTAATGTGAAATAAGCCGCGTACGTACTATAATATAACCTCTTTGAAATCAAAATGCTTTCAGTTATTTTCAGTTTTTGCGCATTTCGAAACTCTGTTGAACGTAACTTCATTCGAGGAATAATCCTACTGAATACCACTCGTGCTTTGGAAATTCTCTGATAAATCCCCCTCGCTTCGCAAGTCGGGGATTTATTGACAATTTTCAAAGTACTCGTGGTATTAAATTATTTTCTTTTCTGCATGTAATTTTAGCAACTTCTTCAGACTGTATTTGGTCTTCATTTTATATCGAGGTGCTTTCCGAATACTGTCTTGTGTACATTGATGTTACATAATTCGTCTGTTTAACTTTAACCATTGTTTAAAATATTGTATTTATTTGTTTTGACATTTTGACTCAAGGCTGAAGATGGAAATAATAATTTCCGAATCGTTGCTATTTATGTATTACATATTTTAGTATATTGCAACCATACTGTATTTTATGTAAAACTGCTATCCAAAAAACAATATGTCCATAAAATAAAGACCAAATATAGTCTGACGCATGGTATTACCTCATAATGACACCCTTTCACAAAAACAAATCAAATGGAGGTGGTTTCGCCGATAAACTCACTTGGCGGGGGTGGTGGTGGTTGTGGTGGTGGTGGAGGTGGTAGTGGTGGAGGTGGGCGGCGAGGGGCGACGGCGGGGCGGCTGCGGGCGGCGGCGCA